AACACTAACGGATGCTGTCCCCGATCGCTCATAGATTCTCCCGTTCGGGACCTCGTGGAGTTCAAGGTTCACCGCCGTAGTGCAGAAAGGCGTCGACTGTAGCTTCACACATTCAAACTTTTATCTCCTGTTGAATCCTGTGATGCGACCACGGGCACCTCTAGATCTGGCAAAACATGTTGCACGCGAGGTGTGTTTGGCGGTTTGTCTTCTGCAATTGGACCTTCGGCAGCAAGACGAAGCCAAGATGGACAAAATACATGACCTCCTCACGCATTGAGCCATCAAAGAACGTGGGAACACTGGGGTATTTTTTCGACTGAACTAGCCATATCAAACACCCTGACACCTTCAAGTGTGTAGGGACAAACCTCCAGGCCTTCGTCAAAATGAGACTGGTTTAGGAGGCCGCAAGGTGCTCTCGGTATCTATATCTGCATCTAGTCTGTCCTACCTGGTTCTTGTAAACTTTTCTCCATTACTATTGGCCTCCAATATTTTGGGAAGTCCTCCATCAATTACCGTACACATTCCATCTATGCTACTCTATGGCCTCTAATCTGTCCTTCGTAAACCGTCATATAAATGCACGAGCTATAAGTTTTTTTCGCTGGCTAGACACCCCATTTCCTGGAGCACTCCTTCTGATAATTTGGAACGCACCCGGTATCCCTTCATACCCCTGTCTCTTTTCTGGTTAAACCTTCACCCAGGTATGACCTCCGAACAGACAGGAACCCCGGAAGGAACATCAGGTTCCGGTTCTTATTGGGGTCTCCTTACATGCAGTAAATCCGGAGACTCCAAATATTTGTCAAAGGACTACTTCACAATCGGTTCTGGGCGTGGTATTCTTGTGGCCTTTTGTGTACTCACTCTATCTTCATAGAAAACGATCTAGTTCTCCCGTTCTCCCACATCTCGGACACTCATTTTGCGCTTACGCAAGATCCGGATGGACGGGCCTGGCTTTTTGACCTCAGGTAGGGTCCAGTTACCCGACGCATTTTATAGACTTGCAGCCAAAGCGGAGTCTTTCTGAATGGCGAGTCGGTTTTAAACGACGCCAGAGAGCTCCACCATGGTGACATTATCACCACTCTGAAGGCTGCTAATGCTAATTCGGCTGATGGTAATTTCAACAATTTGCCAAAGCCAAAAAATCTCCAGCCTTCACTTTCTTTCTGCCAAATAGGGACCAAGAAAACTCAGAGGTAGAGAAAGAGAGGGAGGAGAAGGAAGATAGGTGTAGGAAGCGGACTAGCGTTGCCGTTGACGATGATCCGAACAGAGGCAACTGCGGAGACTCCCCGTGTAAAGAGACTGGAGCCCCTCTCAGCTCGTCTGCAAAACGCCCTAGTTTGTCAAAAAAGGCCTCAGTGGACTTGTGCGACCTACTAACTTGCTCAATCTGTGACGAAATTATGTACGATTGTGTGAGGTTTGTCTTTTCCCCTGGACACCACATACCTCCATAGCATTCAGCCCTGTCTGCACAGCTACTGCCGACACTGCCTTCTACAGTGGCGCACTAAAGATAACATTTGTCCCCTGGTTAGTCAGAAACACATCTTTTCAGCCTCACTGACTCTTTAGTGTCGCTGCAACATCCTGGGCTACGGCAAGAATCATCAATTGGGCTGTATAATTGATGAATATCTTAAACGTCACCCAGGTATGCTCTGACCAATTGAAGCTTCTATGCGTCCTCTCAGAATCCCAAAAATCGGCTGAGGAGAAGGAGGCCATTCGCCGCACCTTGGACTCCCTGCAGGTAATTTTCCATTTGCAAAATAACTCACCTGTTTCACGCCTTTCAGACTGAATTGCCGACTGCAAACGATACTGCCACTGCTTCCAACTCGTCGAACGTTTCTGATGACTCCTCGAACGAATCGCAGTCTTCCACGCATCCACCATCAGCTCCTCGGGCAGCGTAAGTTGTTGCTCTGCATCTGGCCTTTGTTCCTCCGTACGCCAACCGGAGTTTCGGTTCAGATATTAGCAACCATGCAAGCACTTAAGAGGTCAAAGTCAACTAAGCCGCGTTTTCATCATAAGGCCTTACAGCAACGTACGGCACGGTGGGGCATCACACCAAGTCGCGTTACACCGACGAAACAGAAGCGCAACCCACCGGAACCCTTCCTCCAAACCATAATCTCCCCCCCCCCCTTCCCCGCTCGGACATGCCAAGACACCACCTTTCGATGCCCCGTCGTGACTTAGCCTACTGTACGAGCCTGATGTTGGGTAATCGTAAACGTACGTTCGCCGTACATGTTTCACAAACCTACGTTGCACCTACGCCGCAGCCCCTTGGTTTTCGAATTGTCGTGACTACCTGAGGCTCACCACAAATTTGTTGGATATTTTATGTTAGCATTGAAGTAGCCATCGGCAGGAGGGCTGCTTTCTCCATTTTAAAGCTGCAGAGCCAGCTGCACTAGTCCCCATCGAGGCTGGAACTGTGACCATTCCGTCATTTCGGCTCTGTTTATTTGACGACCACCTAGCCCCACGATACTTAAGACGACCCAGTCTTTTAAGATTTAGGAGGAGCCTCTTGCCGGATGAAAGATAGAGGAGAGAAAGAGGGCCCATTTGCATTTAAAACACGCAAAATTCCGTTCCAGACTCTCTCACCCTTGCCGGTTAGACTTTTCGACCAATACATTTAACTATCTTTGTTAATTGTAGGCGTGTTGACCTTCCCCCACAAAACTGTGACTGGTGCCAGGCCGTGTTAGCAAACTCTGGGTCCACATGTAAGTCCGGTCTTTGTGTCTCATAGTTGGCATACTGTCCTTACTCACACCCGCCTCATATGTGGTCAAGCTATTCAGCATAGACTTCTCCAGCAGCGGAGAAGCATTTTTTCGTTGAAGAAATAATTATTCGCCCCGCCTCCCTGTAAGACGTCCTCTGGTTGGTTCCACCACGCAGATAAAACTAGCGGAAGGTTTAACGTGTCTGCCGAAGGCTTTGGCGAGCTGTCGTGGGCTATCGGGCTGACAAAACACAACAACCCAGGTCTACCTTGCACGTCATGATTCACCGAGCACAGAACAGCCATGCGACGCGTCTTGGGAAATTCTGGTCGTGCGAAACCAAAGATCGGCACGTCCGTGGCACACGTTAGAGGCTTTCAGGCCACCCTTCTGGTCGACTGACAGGCCGCTGATGCATGGGAGGGGATGCAAGAAAGGGGAAGAGGGAATAGGAGGACATCCTAGCGGTCGTGACGAGATAACTAGATTCAGCTCACTGCAGTCGCCCCTAAATGTTACCATCAGTGCACTTTCTCGTGAGATCCGAGACGCCCTGAATAAAACCAATGTTTGGAGCTAGGAAACAGGTCGTGTGTATGTGGTACACCCCTGTCCTCGCCTCCAAACGTCCTGACTTCATCTTGCCACCGGGACGCAGTAGGTATGGAAGGAGAGAGTGAGTGAGGTGGGTGCGACGAATGTCTGCTTCACCGCTGCGTCCAATTCGTTGAGCATAACTTAGCCTCATCGTTCACGCTGGTCAAACTATCATATGCATCCAAGTCTATAACAGTATGGTCGTAATCAAAACGGCCACAATCATGCGAGTAAGATAACATGAGCAAGATAGGATGAAGAAATCAGAAGTTGGGCTTTATTCATCCCATAATTAACGTATGAGAACTAAGGTGTGAAATAGAACAACATTTAACGAGATCGAATTTGACCAGAGCGGTAAGTCAACATGACAAGAAGTTGCAAATGGGGCAGTTTTTATGCCGGGTTTGTCAAGCGGCTTTGTACGGGGCCTGTTGATCTGCTGATCGTCGGTTGTATCCTGTTCATCCCTGTTCCGAATTCTTGGTAGGAGTGTAGACTACTTCGCCAGTGCATCCATACAGGTCGAGTTTGCTAGGCTCCCTGACCGACTAAACAAGCCTGTCGTCTTCTCAGTTGTCATACCATCATTACTGCCCTGCAAAATTGCCGTTTCACTCCCGCGAGCACAATAACGACGACAATCTATTCCAGGTCGTAGTCACATTGCCTGCGCCTGCTGCAATCGCAGAATGCCTTCGCCGGACACCACAATTGCCGCTAGTCTGCCCCAGTCTACTTGCTGCCTTTGCGCCCGTTCTTTCTGTGCTCTCCTCTGCACCCCACCCGCCACCTGCCTGTGCAATTCTTCATCTTGCGTTGGGACCCTTGACGGTGAGTTCCACAGACCGCGTGCCTGCCTTCACTGACTCCGCCCCCCCGCCCTGATTTTACCTATGATCTTTCCCTATGTACCTGATCGACATTAGCACCCATGCGAGATTCAAGCCGTCCGTATGATACATGCAGTGGAAACCAGGTCGTGTGTGTGGCACGCGAAGACGGGCTGCTTGGCTTTGTCAGCCACTTCTCCCGTCCCCACCTCCGGCCGTCTTGGTATTACCTCGTCATCAGTGCCATGTGAGTGAGGGTGGAGAAAGAGAGAGAGCGCGTAGATGCAACGCAAGCCACCACTCACTCCTTGGGGCACGCAGTGGAAGTCGTCGCTTGCGACGGTCCAGCTGTCATCGCGACGCCTGACTGACGTCCAAAAGGTTGTCGCGACAGCAACCAAGAGAGCACATAATTGCGTTCAGAATACAACGTGATTGGAGTGGGGGAATAGTCTTAAAATTGCAGATAAACGCGTACCAAGCAGGTGGGATCCGGCCGCCCAGTTTACTGGCTAGCACTCGTCCGCTGACGTGGTAGGTGAGGCCTTTGTAAACCCCATAATGGCGTAGTCGTATCTGTGGACAATTTACTTGGTAGCAAATGCCCTATTATGTTTGTGCCTAATCTTTCGTACTCCAAACTCGGTCATGTCTGGTCCAGCCGACCTTAGTTACAGTAGGTGGCGTATCACATGAAGTGCCAACCGAAATTCAGAAATATGTTTTTCGTTAGATAAGATTACTCAGATGCGGTTGTAATACTGATTGTCATGCAGCAAAATCCCAAGATATTTCGGTCAAGCATGGATGCAAGCTTTTTAACGCGCTTTCCCCGGCCGTCTGCATAAACTACACTCTGTCGAAGATGACTTTTTTAAGTAGTACGATTTCCTGATTGGTTCCCGATGCCTTTGTAGATTCAGCTATATTTTATAGAGAGCATGCGCATAAATATCCTCATTTGGCAGCACTTTAAGTCTTCTTTGAATCTTTTATTCAAAGAAGGGGTATCTTTCGGGCCAAGCATGATCACAACCGTATCAAGTACAAATAAATACAACGATAGACCAGTTTCAAAATTGTTGGAGAAACTAGATAAACGTCTTAAAAGCGAACGGTATCCCTTCTTCGACATCAGCATTTGAATAAGACGTAGTTTCCTACAAAATGAGTGCAATAAGAGGTATTTTTCTGCATTTTCTAGAAAGTTTGTTTTAATTTGTAAGTGCATCGTAGCTCAAACGGTAGAATTCATACAACTTGAGTAGCCACCTTTATCAAGTATGGTTTTTGCAGTCGGTCAGAAGAATGCTCAATCATAAGCCAGCATCCTGAACTGGCTGAATATCTTAGGATTATGTTGCACGATATTCACCATTATAAGTCCGCCTGAGTAACCCTATTCGTAAACAAATCTTCAAATTTCGATTAAAATACGCCAACTACTGTACGTCTCGTGTAGCGTCCTCCCATACGACTCTGAGCCTGGTGAACCGGACGAAGAGCATGTCTAAACCACCTCAACCGCCCTTATTGGATAGTCGAAGATGCCTTTGTAACGCTGCGCATCGACCAGGGGCCACTTCACCCACAGCAAAGTTGATCCCACACTCAAAGGATCGTCCCCTGTCAGTGGTTGTCAAAAGCTGCCACACCCCTTGATCCACAACAAACACTTGACCAGGATTTTAAACCAAAAGTGGGGGTACGGCAGGAATCCCAATTGGCGTGACGTGAGCCTGCAACCGGGTCTGCCACTGCACCCCGAATGTTGGCATTTGTTATGGGTGTGCCTACCGGACTCCGATCCAGCCGGCTGTGCTGGTCCAACGTGGACCGTTTTGGGGGCACAAGGCGACCGACCAGTGGACGTTTCGCCTGTTGGGAAGTTTTCACTGGCAAAGACACGGACACTGGAATGGTCATACCTGGCGCATTTGCAGTCATTAGCTCGTGACATCGCAATCCGACACCCGACATGTGGACCACGAGTTAGTTGATCGTCGAACGATGCTCTCGGTCTCTATGGTAAGGAACCCGTGTCATGTTGGCTGAGATCGGCCATATTTGGCCGCTTGAAAGTGGTGTGCACCGATGTATCCTGAATGCAGGACGGACCACACTGAAACAGACACAGGGACCAAATTAGACTACGGTACGCGTTAACTAGGCCGCGCAGAATCGGCGCATTTCATAACAAATTGTGCGCATTTGGAGGGGCGGTGGCAGGACTGGGTGAAGCATTCACGCCACACCAGCCGTTTTTATCCAACTCCAAAATCAGGCGGCCAACTGACTTGGACTGGTGCATGAGAGGATGAAGAAAAAGTGAGATAGACACTACGAAATCCTCTCGCGCAGCATCTCAGCCCATTTCTCACCGTAAAAAGGTCTGATCCGCATAAAACTATCACGACGCACGCAGTCCTCAGGACTCATTAAGGCTCATTTTGAATGTGGCTTCGATGGCGGTTGCACTTAAATGTGACCTGGGCCGCTCCTTGCTCCTGTAAAAACCCGGTTCATTGCTCGCGGATTAGATCGGGCTTGACATGCGTAGCAAGGCCGTGTAGCTTTGTAAGCTGCTCTATCCGAACCCTCTGGTCCCCATGACGTTGTATTACCACTGGACCAAGGCGGTAGATTGAGGAGCGAGTGCGGCAGATGCTGCGCAAGCCTGCAATCAGTATAAATTAATTCACGCCCAAGTCACTCCCCCCCTCCATTCTTTGCGCTGTGCGGCGCAGGGCGGAGTTCGCCGTTCGCGACGTCGGACTGCCGTATGTCCTTATCTACTAGTTTAACCACCAACCGTTTGTAGTCCTCAAATTAACTGGGTTTGGATGCCTCTACTGCACGCAAATATGGGCGACTTTTCTTTCTAATCTCATTTTTTCGACTCACAGACCTTCGCGTGGAACTGCCTCTCCCGAACCCACTGCTTTTGTGGAATCCTGTCGAATCGAGCTTTGTTTTGGTGAGTTACTGGTACTAATGTTAATTTTGTCCTTCCCGTGGATGCTCTGTCAAGACTGAGAAATACTGTCTTACCACCCAATTGGTGAATCCGTTAATATTTCTTGCCCAAAGACGTATAGACGAAATCTCATGAAATGTTGACAAAAATTCCGAAGTGTTAGTTCAGATAGCATAATGACTCCTTATGAAGTATACAAGGTAGCCCACATCTGTTGCTAGCTTTTATGCACCTATAAGTATTCTTATTAGAATATTTTAAACTCTGGTTTTCCCTAGATGGAATTTTCAGGGTATTGAGAGCCTTTTTTCAAAAAGTTTAAGAAGTCGCGACGGGTTCTCGCCGTCAAGGAGGCCCAATTCGTCGATACAAGGATACCCTGAAGTCCTCCCTGAAATGCCTGCAAATCAACCCCACCAACTGGGAGGAGCTCGCACTCGATCGACCGACCTGGAGGAGGACAGTGAAGACAGGCGCTGCGATCTACGAAGCCAACCGCATCGCTGCCGCCAAAGCGAAACGTGAAGCCCGCAAATCACAACTTCGCCCAGTAAGCAACGCCGCCGCACAACCGCTTCCAACGTGTCCTCGATGTCAACGGACATTCCGGGCTCGAATCGGACTTGTTGGACATCTTCGGATTAACTGCGCCTCTCGAACGGCACCAACCATCGTCCCCCCGCCTGCCCTCCCTCCTCCTCTCCGCCGCCAACTAACCCACCACTTCCATCATCCTCCTCATCCTCCTCCTCCTCCTCGCCCACTGCTCCAACGGCGGTCGCTCAGGCGACTGTCCCACGCACAGCAACCGACACTACCACCACCTTCCCCGACTCCAGGGATGAGGATCAGGACTACACCTGCCCTCACTGCGACCGTACTTTCACCTCACACATCGGCCTGGTCGGTCACTTGCGAATCCATCGCACAGAGCCTGGCGAACCAGTGCCTGGAGCACTAACCTACACCCACCGCACTCGCCTCCACTGCCCACACTGCCCTCGCACCTTCACGCATCGCATGGGCCTTTTCGGCCACATGCGCATCCACGAGAGCGGCCTTGACCGCACTCCCGACACACCCACTACATCCAGCACATCCACCGTGCACACCCCCACTCTCGTTCCATCCGTCCGCGACACCACCACCACCACCACCACCGCCTCCTATGTAGCTGACACCGACACCGCCGACTTCTCATGCCCACACTGTCCACGCACATTCACCTCACGCATCGGCCTGGTCGGTCACTTGCGAATCCATCGCACAGAGACTGGCGAACCAGTGCCTGGAGCACCCACCTATACCCACCAAGCTCGTCTAAACTGCCCACACTGTCCTCGCACTTTCAGGCATCGCATGAGCCTATTCGGCCACATGCGCATCCACGACGACCTGCGGTAGACAACCGCCGGCCACACCACACATTCACTCACTCCCTACCTCCTCCACCACCACCATCACCCCACCAGAAATCAACACTCACACACCTCATGCACCCAACTGCCATCTCTCACGCAAGTGGGAAGTGTGCATCTCGACTCGGTCCCCATGCGGCTTCGGCTGCACGGGTGACTTGAGTCCGAGGCTATCCCGACACGTCAAGTGTCGTGGATAGGAAGGTTGCTGATTGAGGCCCGCTCTCGGTTCACGCAGTTCGTCGCGTTGTGTGTGTGTGTGTGTGTTGTGTGTAGTGGTGGACTGGTGGGCTGGGGACGAGCTGAAACAGCACCTTTCACGGCCCTCTCACGCAAGTGAGAGACACGCCGTTCAACCCCGTTGTGTGAAATCCTGGTGTTTGTGTGTGTATGGGGGGCCAGGTCGTGCTGTGGCGCGCGCAGACATGGTCAGTCGACCATGTCAGCCACCGCGCCCATTCCCCACTCCAGTCTTCTGACCGGCTCGGACAGCGGCTGGGGTGTGGGGATGGGAAGGGAGAGTGAGGTCGACGACTCAGCGCACTTTCTCCTCACTATAAACAATCTGACGCGCTTGAAGCTATCACGGTGCGCTAAAAGCCGTGGCTTGGAAGGTTGCCAACTGACGGGGTACCTTGGACCTCCTCCTTCACTGGAGGCGGTCTGAGAGTCAGGCTGCAATGGCTCCTTTTTAATGTGGCCTTTATGGCATTCCCACCACAGTGTGGGATCCGAGCCAGGCGTTGGCGGCACGCCCAGGTGCGGCTTCGGCCGTGCCAGCCTCCAAATCTCTGTTGTGTTGGTTGAAATCCTGGTTATTGCTGTGTGGACCAGGGGGTGTGGTGGAACGCCAAGGTGAGGATCCGTCCGAGCCATCCACCTGCGGCCTCCCTCGTCTCCGGTCTTCTTGACTCTGTCTTGACACCGGGTCCAGGCGGGGGAGGAGGAGAGAGTGTAGGTAGATGCTACGCACGTCTACCGGCACTATAAACCCCTGCGTAAGTCACAGTCCCTGCTCCCATTGCTGCTGCAACTGTGGGGCACACGGTGGACATCATCGAAACCGATGGTCGAACTGTCAGCAACCTCCGCCGACGCCGTAACGCCACCACCACGGACAGGATGGTGATCATGCACCAGCCGTCGCATTACGTCCAGCGGCACCCACCTCCACACAGTGAATAAATTCACTCATTTGGGCAGCACATTCGCGCGGCACCAAAATCGATAATGAAGTTGCGCACCGGATCTCCCAAGTCAGCCGGAGGTTCCGCCGGCTGCAAGCCTTGGTGTGGGGTCGCCATGGTTCCGTCTCACTGCCAAGGTGGAAATGTTAAAGTTTTAATCTTGGAGTGGGCACCTGGACAGTTAACGAGAAACAAGTGAAGAAACTTAACCACTTCCCTTGTTTAATTTCCGAGGAAATTAATGCGCGAACTTGGAGTAACTCTTTCGAAACAGGCCTTTTCAGGCACGGTCCGAAATTTGATATGAATATTTGAGCTGAAATCCATCAGCTACTGCGGAATAACCGCTTAGTACGGTAAATTATTGCACAACGTTAACCACTTCCACCTCGACTGCCTCCGAGGAATGCTTAAGCTGACATGGAAAGACAGGATTTCATACACTGTAGTCCTTATGTTATTACCGACAAAGACAAGGGAGACTGGAATGGCCATTTCTGGCTTATTAGCCGTCGTCAGCCAGTCATGCCCAACCCCGAATTGTGAAATACCTGAGACTCGAACTCGCGACCTGTTAGTTAGAAGTCCACGTTTCTAACCACTGGGCCACGAGCCCGTTGCCCTATCGGTTTCAGTAGTCCTTGGAAGAACCAGAATCCTCAGCATTCACGCCCTGTTGATGCAAATTCAACTGCACTGAAGCGGCCACCTCGCGAGGATGGATGACGAGCGTCTGTCCAAGCGGCTCTTTCACGATGGTTTCATTACGGGTGTTCGTCGATAAGGAAGACAAAACGGACGCTACAAGGAGACACCTCGAAGAACTCTCTCAGGCACATACTAATCTACCTGGTGACCTAGAAAGACCTTAACCAGGACCGACTGGCTTGGAAAAGAGCTTCGAAGGCAGGAATAGCAATTTACAAAGCAAACTGGATCGCCGCTGCCAAAGCCGAAAGAGCAGCTCGCACGCCTCAAGCTTCTCTGACCCACAAAATGAAGACCTAACTTCCTCCAACATGCCCACACTGCCAACGAACATTTCGCGCATGGATCAACCCCGTCGTTCACCTCCGAACCCGTTGCAAAAACAGTGCGACAACTCCATCTGCTGCCGCCTCAAATACTTCCTATCGTCACCGTTGTACCAACTTTCACCGCATCCACGACAACAACTACTATAATCGCCACCTATGACTACACTCCTCTTACCTCGACGCCTCAGCTGACGTTGTCGACCCTTACCGCTTTAATCCCCTCCGCAACGTCCGTAACGGCTATTACTATCTCTCCATCTCCCGTCAAGCACCATCAGAAGTGTGGACTGGACCTCAACCTGTCTTTATTACGATCACACCTTTATTTCACACGTCTGCCTGATCGGTCACTGAGGCCTTCAAAGTCCCAAAATACACTCGTCGCATCCGCCTCCACTGGTCGCACTGCCTACGCACATTCACTTACCACATGAGCTTATTCGGCCACACGTGTTACACCACAGCCGAATTCACCGCAATATCGGCTCGCCCAGCACACTTTACAACCCAGCAACTCTGCCCCTCCAACGCGGCGAATAGCGGCAGCATCACAACCACGATTGACTCAGCAGCTCTCCACCTATCCTACCCATACTGTTACCGCACATGCGCGTCGAACATCGGCCTGGTCGGTCACTTGCTAATCTATCCCACAGAGCCCGTCGAGCCGGTGCCTAGAGCACCAACATACACCCACGTCAACTGCCCGCACTGCCCACGCGAATGAATCCATGGCGTGGCCCTACTGGGCTACATGCCCATCCAAAAAAAGCCTGTGACAAAATGCCGCCGGCCAAACTTCATCATCACCGACAACACACGCACCACAAACGAATCTTTATGTCGTTATCCACCAGAAGCAGGGAAACGGCACCTCTCATGCAAGTAGGATTCATGCTAGTTGGCTTCTCCTTCGTGTGGCCCTTCTGCTAATCTATCGTCACGTTTGATCCGAGCAACCCACCCGCATTCTGTGAAATCATGGTGTGCTGTGTGGCAGGCAGGGTCGCGTATGTGGCTCACGCAAGCGGGCTGTTTAGCTTCATCAGCCACTACGACCGATCCCGCAACCGGTCATCTTGATTCTATCTTGACACCGGGTTCAGGTGTTTAAGGGGAGAGTGTGGTAGATGTAGCGAAGATCTGCTATCACTATAAACAAATTCACGTGCACGTCACCTTACCTGCGCCCTTCCTTCTGTGGAGCACACGGTTGACATCGTTGAGTCCGACGGTCGCACTTTTGTTATACCTGATGTGTGCGGGGACAATAGATTTAGCGAAAACGCTCGTTGGCCAATTTAGAAAATTAGTTTCGGATCGTGCATGCACGTTTTGGTAATTTCTTATCAGGCCAACACGATCATATGACTCCTTTTATGCCCAAGTAGAAGCGTGCTGAAAATTTCGATTGGCTGGATGTCTTTTCCGAGCCAGGAGGAGTGGGTCCACATCTCCGACAGGCAATTTCGATCGGTCGCCGTACTACGACCACTTTTTGGGCACAGCAACTGCGCCAAGTTGCGTAATCAGTCTTCCGGGCTACTGGGCGCTGCTTCCCTGAGTTGATAGTTCAACAGTATTTGGTAGAGTGCCAGAAAGATTGGAATCCACATAAAATCACAACTTACTCTGCTTATCGGACGTAGGACCGGGTTTGAGGGGGGGAGGGGGGCCTGTGAAAGTGGACACTCATTTCACCTCTTTGTGCAACCGGGTGCCAAACCCGTGAAGACGGGTTGCCCGTTAGTCTAGCTGCTGGCTACCCGGCGCGTCCGCCGGGTTTTCTCAAGTCTTCGGAAATGCCTATGGAATCGATGTGACCTTTCCATCGCCACTACGGTTGTGAATGCTGGGCTTTGCGCCTGGAGGACGAGCGAAAACAGGAGGTATTTGACCACCACTGCTTGAGGGCCATCCTTCGAGTGAAGTTCACCGACTTCGTCTCAAGTGATACAGTCCGCGCTCGCTGCGACAACATCGCAAGTATAACTCAGGCCATCCAAGAAAGACGACTGAAGTGGTTCGGGTACGTTCTTTGTCGTCCATCTCAGGAGCCCAGTGTTACTGCCCTCGATCCGGCACCGTTGCCCCATTGGAGGCGTGGAAGAGGGGGTCGGTTCAAAACCTGGTTCGACAGAGTTCGTCAAGACATGGAGGTGGTTCTTGGACCTTCGGTATTCGGTCTACGTCGTTGGCTAAAGGAATGGGTTGAGCTGTCCAGATCTGCTGCCGCGGATCGTCACGCGTGGAGAGGTACAGTTTGTGACATTATCGAGGCCGGCTAGATCAGGCATGATCGCAGCCGTATCAAGTGTAAGTAGTAAGTAAGGCGGACTTCACTTAATTTCTCCTCGCGTATAGCCATTTCTTCTACCTTTGTAGGCAATGTGGCTACTCGTGGGTGTGACTTTTCGCAAGGCCCATTGTTTGCCTCTTCTCCCGGTTTTTAAACTTTGCGGTATTTTTTGCTTATTACGGACTGGCCTTGTGGTCGCCTTTCTGCGCATGCCTCATCAACTACGTATGACATTCATGTGTTGTTAAACGACTGTTTAACAGGCCTACCTGGCGCGACAGAACATCGCACATCAGGACTTCCTGGCGATCCTGCTGCAGAACCTACCCACGCTGACTTCTCACCGATTCAACGACGGACTGAATGAGGACTCTCTTGCCACGGTAGATTTGACGAGCAAGATGTGCAGGGCTTGCCGTAGGTCCTGTCTCAGCAGACTCGTCTACGCCTGGCGTCTTAACCTGCCCCAGGCCGCAGTTAGTCAGAACTGGCCGCATCGACCCAACTGCTACTACGGTCGTAATTGTCGAACTCAGGTCAGCAGTTTGACGCACGCTCAACGGTACAACCACTGCTGTGAACAGACACGTTTCACCTAGATCTTGTTCACTCTCACTCCACCTTTGGCCTTATCACCCTGACTTCAGTCTTTCGAGCATACACAATTCCCAGGCCTCAAACTGTGATTTACCACACACCCACACACACGACTCTTACTCTTTCCACTCATAGATGGGTTACTCTTTATGTTATATACACCTTATTTGTTATTTCAACTGTGTTCCCTGAATGCGTTATTTTTGTCTTGTGAAGAGAAAAAACTTTTAGCTAGTAAACATGACAGTTTTATAAGCGTGCGCTTTTCCGAAATCTTTTTTGTCCAAACATGTAAGCTTACAACCTTCTCCATAAAATTTACAGGAAGGGCTGGATCGGGAACTCTCCTCGGCCATCAAATGAAGCCAGGGATGCACTGATTGGATGAGATCCAACCAATCAGTCAACAGCAACATCAGTACTTTAAAATCCGCCAGTCATCGAGGGGATCAGTCAGGAATTTTCTTTCTGTGGAATATGCAACCGGTGACCTATTTGGCTCACTGGGCCAGGCAATATCTGACTGAAGTAAATAATAATTTCGGCTTTACTGTGGTGCTGTCGTTAACACGGGTCGGCATACTCTCGCACTGATTCTGAATAACTAGACCGTGATGTCTCGACGGGTGGATGAGAGAGATGGAGGGCTGGCGTACCACACGGCTCACCCTTGCTCCGGAGTCAACCACGTTGTTGTGGTTAGGATCTTACTCGATCCCATTCTGTCCGCCCACCAGCTTGCTACTGGCGACAAAGAGCGTTGTGCCTTAGGACAATTACCACGTATAATACGTAAGCAGCTCACTAGGAGTGCGACAGGCCAGACGCAGACACCTGTTTCACTGCCGTTAACGATCATGGACCATATGAAGTGCTGATGACGTGATCCCAGCATTTGTTTAAGGTACCTTTTCCAAGCCCATCTCCTGCGATGGGGTAGGCAGTACTACCCCGGAATGTTGCGGCCTAGACATCCCAGACGGTCGCCTAAATCCACTATGGATCACGACCTTGTTTAGTGAAGAGCGACGCGAGTTAGACCGAACCTCCCAGGAGATTTCATTTTGCCCTCTCCATAGGAATTTTCGAGGTGAAAGGGGGAAGGGCGGGAGGCCGAGACCTGGGGATGGGAACAGAACTACCGGGTGTAGGATCGCACGCAGCATTGAATATCCCCATCTGGTTGGACCCATCGGTCGACGCGGTTACCTGGGTGTCGTGGAGAGACAGAGCTTAGCCTCGAGGAGACACAGATGAGATTTGGGGGCCTGTTAATGATCGTGAGTACCAGTTATCATTTTCATCGTGCTACCTGCCACTCTTGCACGGGTGTCCTAACCGGGCACCGCGACATATCCACGACAAATCAGCGCCTTTCCCATTATCATAAACTTGACGCGCTATGATTCGTGGCTTGGAAGATTGCCAACTGATGGGATAAGTCGACCTTCAGGGGAGTACTTTGGCATGACTGGACAACTGAGAGTCAGACCGCAATTTGGCCCTTTCGGCACTCTTACCCACCTGAGATCTGAGCCGCCATCGCGAAAACCTAGTACTTTCTGCAGGTACCAGGTCGTGGATGTGGCACGCGCAGACGAGCTGCTTAGATCTGTCAACGGCTACGCTCGTACCCACTTGCGGTTGTCTTGACATTGTCTTACCACCGTAGCTCTAGTAAGTGGGCCAACTCATGAAATGTCAATCGAAATTTCGAAAATCGTTTTCATTTTTAAAAGATCAATTAAGTGGGGTTGTAAAACTAGTAATCATGCAGCTTAATTCTATAATAATTCAGTTACCCTAGGGTGCTGGCTTTCGAACGAATCTCTCCCCGGCTGCATGTAAAAACTACACTGTAAAAAAATGGTTACTTCAGTAGTATGCATTTTTCTCATTAATTTTCTATACCCCTAAAAGTTCAATTATATTTCATGGAAACATGAATAAAAATACTTATTCTTTTGCTCATTCGGCAGATGACTACATCTTCTTTGCATTTCATTGTCAAAGGCAACGTATAATTCGATTTTCAAAAACATTTCCAATTCCCAAATAAGTTGGACCTGTCTTGCCACTACACTTAGATTCAGGGTTTCCAAACTACCAGCCGTTTATTTTCCGCGGGCGGAAAACCATGCATTTCTCTACGATATTAATAGGAGAACATGTGGGGTTCATAAAATTTAGCAAAGGATTTGATCCATATTGTTAACTTTACAAGCTACATTGGTAACTGTAGAGACATGACGATTTATTAACAGCCATTTCACGGTATTTAAAAGTCCCGCAATTAGAAACTTTTTCAAAACCGAATTATGTCCCCCCTTCGAGCATAAAATTAGAAGACGTAGTTATCTACCGAATGCGTGAAAGAATGAATATTGTTATGCATGTCTTCCGTGAAATATAATTGGATTTTTAAGGGCATCGAAAATCAATGAGATTAATTCAAGCTACTCAAGCAGTCATTTTTCTCAGAGTGTAGGTTTTGCATACAGCCGCAGTGAAGTTCGTTCGAAATTATGTTGCAGGCTAACCAGTTTTAGAACCCTACTTAATCAATCTTTTCGAAGCGAAAACGCATTTCGGAATTTCAGTTGACAATTTCATGAGTTAGCCCACCTACTTTAGGTGAGCGAAGGAGGGGAAAATTTGGTTGGTACTGCGCAAGTCAGTTTCTCTATAAATTAAATCATGTACAAGTCTCCGGTGATGGTCACGCGGTATATATCGTCACCTACGACGGTCGAACTTGTACTCTATGATCTCAGTGGAGTTTCGGTTGGATGGTTCGTACGCGCAAACGAATAGTTGGTAGAAATAATTGCTAACCGTCAATAATAAAACCTGCCTTTCGAAATGCCATGATGACTCATCCTTTCTTCGCCAGGCTGAAGAAGTCACACTGTCCAGATTACGTTCCTGTGACTTCGTTATTTATCTCTCGGGAGACATTGTCCTGACCTTTATAGTTTCAAACTACGCCATGCTTTAGAGGTGCGTACAGCAGAGAACTAAATATGCGACGATTTTCTAAAACGAATATTGGAACCCCCGGCGTGAATCCACGTACCAATAAGCCTTTTGCGATTGCTGGTAGAGCCCTGATCAATAGATTCTCGTTCCCATGAGGGAGTGTGTCCACGATTCGCAGCGGATGGTTTTTTTGTTGTTGGAGGCGGCTTCTTCAATAAGAGTCCGTCGCTGGTCACAAACCCTTAATCATATTTGGAATATCCGTCAATTTGATGCGTCTGAAGTATGTTTGCTTAAGATTTTCTCATCGTTCGTTCGGACCGGTTGTACTCAGTTGAAGGGCTGAGAATCAGAAATGCAGCAGTCAAGTTTGCCAAACGCAAAAAGCTTTTGTTATTACTATTAGCTCAACCGAATGTTATCGCACTTGCATGCCTACCGCCTGTAGTGGAGCACTTTGCCTGCCCTATTCACAATGTAATCTTGGGTTGCTGCATTACGCGTGGCAGCGCCAACCAAAATCGTGATTGCGTCATTCACACGACACGACATGCTATTGGCCCATGGTTCAAGCAACAGAATATGGAGGTTTGCACATAAAATAATGTAGCCAGAGCAACGTCAGCAGCGTGAGCTGGGGTACATATTCGCACTGGAATTGGTGCTCCCAGATCAGATTGGGGTCTCATGACAACTGGATCCGTTCATATAGCCCCAGGCACACCAGCATGAGAAAGAGATGATCTGTCTAGATTGAGACCGACTTCTAGAGACACGCTGATGAAGCTCGTACGGAAAACCATACACTTCTCTACGGTATTAATAGGAAACCGTATGGGGCTCTTAAAATTTAACAGTATATTTGAGCCATATTGCTAACGTTTAAAGCCACATTGGTAAATGCAGAGACATGACGTTTTATGAACGGCCGTTTCACGGTATAAAAAAATCACACAATTAGAAAGTTTTTTAAAGCAATATTATACCCTTCCTTCGAGTATAAAATTGACATAGTTAGACCCGCGACCCACGTGAACCTGGGCTTTGAACTGGAAAATAGAGTCAAACGACTGCGACGCTGTCTGTCGTGAAGAGGAATATCTGTTCCCACTGAAGTGTTGTCCTGCGGTTTGACTGTATTACGAAACTGTGCACGTCGTGTTCTGTCTTGGACTTCCACTAAGAGTCCTGGTGGAACATTCGACCTACTTAAATATGCTATCTCATTAAATGCTGACTGAAATTCCGAAACGTGATTCAATTTCAAAAGATTACTTTAGTAGGGTTGTAACATCTGTTACAATGTACTATAATGTTAAGATGTTCCAGTCGCGTCCGGATATCGGCTTTTGAATGAGTTTCATGTCGACCGCCTGCATAAACTATATTTTGTAAAAAAATGACAGCTTAATTTGCGTGAATTTTTGCCATTGACCGCACCCTAACTTCTAGAGCGTATCCTGTCCAAGTGGACAGAATAAACTGCTGAAATAAGTTCGCTAGTGAGATTATGGAGAGTATCGTCATGCCAGATAAGAAAAATGTCTTTTTTCGTTAAAATGGAATCAGTCCGGACATAAAAGACCCAGCAGGCCTAAGTAAACTTCCTACGATGAGGCCGTAAACACAGTTGGCGACTCAACTGCATCTTACCCTTAGGTGGCGACGGAAGAAATTTAATTTGACAATAGATTATGAAGGAAAGGGAGACTCCTGGCAGAGGAACTCAAAAAAGTAATCTCCTGTATATTACATTTGTTGCTGTGGACATCTTGGAAGCAACACGACACTATGCCGCTAGTGCGACAAATTGCCTCTGGGTGTCGTCGTCATTATGAGCAAATCTCGATTGCTTCCCATTTTCTGACAAATATATGAAGATAGCATCGTTACTTGCTAACTGAAAGTAGATAACCCAGTGTCTTTAACTAGGCAGACGGCTCAGAAGAAGGTGCGATCGCTGGGACAAGAGATTTATCAGCCTAACGTTTCGGATTCTCAATCGAACCCGTCACCAGGGGCAGTCACAGAAAAGGGTAGTCGAGACAGTATTCATAGGACGCAGTAGCTTGACAACCACATGCTTAAAATGCTTAGCAACACTCGCGTTCATTGCTGGGGTTCGTATTTGTTGCGATAATTGCTTGTTTGTCCGTACCTGAGCCGTTAATTGCCGTGAATTTCTCATCGTTGTTAATTTTTTACTTTACGACTACCCGGCAGTTTGGCTTACTGTCACCGGAACTGTTGATCGTGCGAGCCCTGTCCTGGTGATTAATTATTTGGCCCAGGCAAAATCGCAGCACAAAATATGGAGGCGGAAGGTCATTGTGCTTGTTAACTGAATGCGGGCCGGTGAAGCATGACTCAGGCAGTTCGCATCTCACGTGGTTATCAATTTCTGTGAGAATTTTGGCCTCGTCAAACTAGAGTCACGATTTGAGAGCTAGCGTCATCCCTTCCCACCGCTGCTGCATTTTCGGCCATTAGCGTTCGGAGTAATCCCCCAGTTCCTCTGACGAAATTGTTTTGCCCACAACTGCGCCAGATCCGGTAACCGACTTCGTACGTTTACTGCCGTGACATTAGGTCCTACGACCCCATGACTTGGCATCAGATGGCTGCCTCCGGTTTGTGTGCATCTCCAACTCCGGACGGTGTGAGAAGGTGGCTGTAAGTTTTTACTTGTTTGGTAGCAAATAACGTCGTCTTTACCTTTCATACTCGAAGAAAGAGTATACTTAAGCTTTGATAAAATTTCCCAATCCCCGAATAATTTTGAGCCTGATCAGCTGTTGTATTGACGTTTGGCGATTTCAGTCTACAAGGTGCATGCCTTCCGCGTAAGAAAAATCACATATTACTTTAAGTCCTTAAGAAGAAATCATATAGAGTTCATAAAATTTCGCCATGGATGCTCAGTATGTCATTTACTCTACGGGGAGCATTAGTACACGGACAGGTACGATGAACATTCCACTGTCTTAAAAAATCTCATACATCGAAACATTTTAGAACCGAAGAGTGCCGACATGATTTGCTACAAAAACTTAAATTTATAAAATTTATGAAAATGCAGACTACATCAGTAGTCGTTTTTTACCATGTGGAGTTTTTGCATGAGGCCGAAAAGAAGCGTATTCAAAACCCAACATCCTGGCGAGTCCGAAACATCACGGAAGTACGTCGCGAGTTCATCAGTATCACAGCCCGACCCAAGTAATCATTCTTGATCGGAAACGCATTTTAGAATTTCGGTTAAAACTTCATTCACTGGTAATTCCAATGACATAGAACATTACACTCTTTTATTTTATATTCTTAGAAAATAAAATAGTTTCACGGATGGAAGCGAATATGCGAATCCCAGGTTCTTGTTGTAAAGAAGATGAAGATCCGATCTCTGGGACAGTGGGTTTATTAGTCTGAGCTTTCGGTCTCGTACAGGAGGCCATCGTCAGAGACTGTGAGAAGGCAACATCAAATGAGCGGTTTTTGTAGTCACGCCATGAAGGGGGGAGGAGAGAATTGAATGCAGCGGGTGGTATTCTCGATAAGTTGCGTCCCACGCCGTCTCACGATGGCGTGACTGTGTACACCCTTGGCTGGAAATTGGGTCTCGCCCCTTGGCCGCGGGAACGGAGCGCGTCATAGCAGGGGGGTATTTCAACGTGCCTGTTGATAGAGTTGGTGCCAGACACCCAGGCCTCTAACAGTTCACGTCCTGTCTTATTGCTGGCCCGCGCCACTATCCGCATGCTCGCAAAGTTGAATTCGTGGCCTTCCTCCAGGGTGTGTGTGGCGATCTGAGACAACGGGTCGCCTCTCCGGACCGCGCGTTTGTGCTCCGTTATTCGTGAGCTAGGCGAGGGCAGTCCCGACATGGGATCTGATAGTCGACGCCCGATTGTTCACCCACGTCTAGGCGATCCTTCACTTGCATGATTTTGCTGCGCATGGTCGCTGTCGGACGGTGAGCGATACCCACGCCGAGCTCTCCAGCAATACGTTCCATCGCTTCGGATACGTTCTTTATATATGGCAGAGGGTGCCAGAGTTTTGGCGGCTCTCCTCCGTTTTTTCGCCGTGGGCGCCTGCGGAGGCAGCGGCTGACGAAGCTGTTCGGGTATCCATTCCTTGCCAGTTGGTCCCGAAGATGCCGAAGTTCTCGTACTCGTCCCTCTGGTTCACTGCAGTGCGTTTTTACCCTCTGGAAGAGTGTCCTAACACAGCTGCGTTTATGAGCCATTGGGTGGTTACTGTGGTAGTTGAGAATCTGAGTCGTGTTAGTCGCCTTTCTGTACACCGTGGTGTTGAGTTCGCCGTTGGGTGTGCGTGTGATGCGAACGTCAAGGAAAGGCAGCTGTTCGGTATGCTCTTCTTCCCTTGTGAACTGAATGTCTGGGAAGATGCCGTTGAGCAGGTCTTGGAAGTCGGCCAGTCTGCTCCTTTCAATTATGACGAACGTGTCGTCCACGTACCGGCGCCAAAATGCAGGTTCATAGTGGTCGAAGGCGACTTTTTCCAGTTCCTGCAGGACTAGTTCTGCAACCAGGCTGGATATTGGCGAACCCATCGGCGTTCCTTTGATCTGCTCGTATGATCGCCTAGACGTTGGTGAACAATCGGGCGTCGACTATCAGATCCCATGTCGGGACTGCCCTCGCCTAGCTCACGAATAACGGAGCACAAACGCGCGGTCCGGAGAGGCGACCCGTTGTCTCAGATCGCCACACACACCCTGGAGGAAGGCCACGAATTCAACTTTGCGAGCATGCGGATAGTGGCGCGGGCCAGCAATAAGACAGGACGTGAACTGTTAGAGGCCTGGGTGTCTGGCACCAACTCTATCAACAGGCACGTTGAAATACCCCCCTGCTATGACGCGCTCCGTTCCCGCGGCCAAGGGGCGAGACCCAATTTCCAGCCAAGGGTGTACACAGTCACGCCATCGTGAGACGGCGTGGGACGCAACTTATCGAGAATACCACCCGCTGCATTCAATTCTCTCCCCCCCCTTCATGGCGTGACTACAAAAACCGCTCATTTGATGTTGCCTTCTCACAGTCTCTGACGATGGCCTCCTGTACGAGACCGAAAGCTCAGACTAATAAACCCACTGTCCCAGAGATCGGATCTTCATCTTCTTTATAAAATAGTTTCGTCTCCCCTCGGCATTAGTTGGAATAGCTTCCGTCTGTACTTGAGAAATTTCTACATGGCATCAACATCGATATGCCGATTAATGCATGCACGGTAGTCTGTCTTTTCCTCCCAAACGTTGGAGGGGACGTAAGGACATCTTGCATCTATCCATCGGGCTGCAACGGTGTTAAAATACCCAACTTCCATTCCTTAATCCACACTTGGACAGTCATCACTGTCGTCTGTGCTTTCTTGTGATTCCCATGTGGGTACTCATATTGTGCCCGGATGCCCACATCATAGACACGCCTCCCCCTTCCATACAGCGCTGATGTAGAGCTAAAACAGCTCCTTTGAAACAGTTTGTTCGAGGACTAGTCAATTCTCTTGCTAAAGGTAAGTAAGTTAATCCAGTTTAGAACCAGGACTGTGTGCAGTAAAAAAGCCATGAGGGATGCTTCTTTTCCGATAAGCATTTACAACAGGACCTCCCACCAAACACACTGTCTTAGACCGCGGAAGAACCCGGAAGCATAAGTCAAGACCTGTCACTGTTTTCAGACAGGATAAAGGACTCGCAGTGGGACCAATCCTACCTCTCGACCTCCTCTCACTATTCTCTGTCTGATGCATTTTAACCTATCGCGACGCAGCGACGTTCATGGTGGCAGTCTTATCTGCCGTTATGACTACCAGTCCGTCACGGAGGGCTGGTGTGTGATGTGGGACCTGCAAAACCTCCGCTGGGTTGGATTGCATATATTCGGGCTGGTTGGGACGCAGTGGTTGCGAACACAGTCTCCCATTTTTCTTTTCGTGGGTTTAACCGAAGGCCTGGGTGCAGGCGGCATTTTCTTTGTGCCCTCCCTCCCCCTCTCCAGCAATCTTCGACTGAATGGTCTCCAACCGATCGGAACTGGCGCCGCTAGCACTGATTTCCTCACCAACAGCGACCTTGCTAACCACACTGACCTCTATTCGCACACTTCGCCCAGTTTGACCTTGCCTGGCAGCCTGGGTGTCAGAAACGGCGGTGTTGTCTGTAGTGGAAGTAGTGGTTCCTCTTCCGATCCTCGCCACTTCTTCGTGGATCTCATCTACCCGCCCTTCACCACCGTGAGTGGTAACAGTAACGGTGGTAGTGGCGGCGGCGGCGGCAGCGGCGGTAGCGGTGATGATGACGGTAATAACAACTCTGGCAACTTCGGGATCGTCTTCTCCGTCTCTCGTACGTCGACTGCAAACTTCCCTTATGACCCTGCATTCCACTCCTTTTCCCTAAGTCTCGGTTTGAAGTCCTTAATTCCCCTCTTTTAGTGTTTTTTTTTCATCCTCTTTATCTTTATCTCAGTTCTTAATCGATGCCTCAAGCCTCTTATATGCATATATAAACGCACATTTCCATTTCATTCCTCTCACTCTTGCCCGCTCTGCAGTTTGTCAACTTCCCAACCCTTCCCTCCCGACATTTCCAATGCTACCTCATCGTGTTCACTACGCAAATTAATTGTACGTGACGAATGCGGTCAGAAGACCTCACCGTTGCCACTGCCGTTCTGCAACCGTTTGTGCCAGCACCTGTCTTGTGGGTTAACTATTGTCGAAGGCTGAGCTGAAGACGGCAGGGGACACTGAAAAGCAGCAGTTGTTTTTAACTTACCGAGTTCTCTGTCCCGCCAGTCAAATCGGTGAAGACCCTTTCTAGCTTCTTACGCTCCATTCCTAAAAGATGTAGCCTGATGACCAGACACTATTAGAGTCAAAGTTTTGCAGTGCTGCTGATGATGTTGGTGGTGGTGGGGGTGCGCTGATCTGTTTGCCGTGTACGTTTTATTTCTACTTAATAATTTGCTTGTCCGCTGCCTGTTTCGACAACGTGTCTGCTGTTTTTCTCCACTCCTCGTCTTTGTCGCATTTCGGCGGTTGTCCGTTTCCGGTCCCCATCACTGCAGGGTAAAGTCATTTGTCTCTGCGAGACAAATCTGATTAATGTACGTGTATTGCAATGCTGGGAAAATCTGCACTGACTGTTCTTGCCCGGTAGACGAAGATCGCATGACAGTTCGACCCCCGTTGCCGACAATGTCCACCGTGTGCCCCACAGCAGGGTGGGAGCAGGAAAATAACTTACAGCTGAGTTAGTTTATAGTGATAGTAGACTTGCGTTGAATCCATCGTACTTTCTCCTTCCCAACCTGGGTCCAATGTCAGAGCGACAGAGCTAAGAAGACTGGAGGCGGAAGAGGGCGCAGGTGGCTGGCACGGTGTAGACCCGCACCTAGACGTACCACCACATCCCCTGGCCCACGGTGTATATTGACCAGGATGTTACACAACAGGAGGAGATGGATGGGCTCGGATCCCGCTAGGTGAGATGGTCATAGAGGTCACGTTAAGAAGGAGACGTTTCAGCTTGAGTCGTAGTCCGCCAGTTGGCCACGTCGTCATTGGACAACCTTTGAAGCCACGGCGCATAGCGCACCGGGATATTATCTGGCTCGGATCACAGATGCGGCGGAGTAGCCACGCACTTTCCGCTTGAGAGGCGTCAATTACGTGCTTGCGTTGTGTGGTGCTGGGCGTGGTCCTGTGTGTTGTAGGCACAGGTAAAGGGAATTATGGTGGTATGGTATAGCCGGCGATGTTCTAACACAGGTCTTTATGGGGGCGCATGTGGCCTAATAGACCCACACGGTGAGTGAATATGCGAGGACAGTGCGGAAGATTGAGACGATGACGTATGTCTGGGCCCCAGGTACAAGTTCGCAATCCTTTCTGCGGTGAGTCCGCAAGTGACCGACCGAACCGACGCGCGAGGCAATGTGATCAAGCTTCGCTGGGGGAGGTTGGTTCGATTGTCGTTGTGATGCTGCTCAACAGGAAGTTGATTGGCCTGGAGATAGGCTGGGTAGTGGATGTGCACAGTGCGTTATGTGTCGATACGCTGTGAATTGCTTCATTATGGGTACGTTTTGACCAAATAGACCCGTGCGATGTATGAATGCAAGTAAACAGTGTAGGCAGATGCGGTTAGTCTGGTGGGTCACTTCGTCTTCGATTTTAACTCAGTGAGAGAGTGTCCTGGTTAAGTAGGCAAAGTTGTCCACGGTTTTAAGTTCGATGCCGTTGACGTGGATACAAGAGCACTGTCTGCGGCATTGGGTAGCAATTGGCGCATGACTGCCGTTTTGACCGTGTTGATGGTGAGTCCGAAGTTGTCGCAGCCGGGTTCAGAGAGGTCCGTGCTCCGTTGCATAGTAGCGTCTGTCAGGGCGTTAAGCATGCAATGGTCAGCGAAAAGCAGATCATGGACGGTGGTCGTGTAGAGGCGCGTCGGGTCCCTATGCGCCAGCTGTTGAGAAGATGCCCGTGTGTACTGTGCACAATGCGGATCCCGGGGCACCCATTGCGGTAAGCGTTCATCAGCATGGTAGAAATCATTAGAATGAACATGGTGGGGGTGGGGAGTACGCATCCCTGCTTCACTCCGTTGGTTACTGCGAATGCTTCTGGGACGGCCCGGTTGTCTATGGCATGAGCCATCATCTTGTAGTGGAGCTGCCACACCATATGCGTGAGTCGCTGAGGACAGCGGAATTTCTCATGATTCTCTACAGATCGCCGAGATTCATTGTGTCGAAGGCTTTCGTCAAGTCCACGAAGATAGTGTAGAGGTAGGTCCGCGCTTCCTCGCCATTCTTTTGGACCTGGCGGGCAGCGAAGTTGATGTTGAAGATTTAGTGGTGGCATCGGAGTCCACACTGCCTTTCGTTAGAAGTCCTCGTGAAACATGGCCGTTTGGACGGTTAAGGAGGATGTGAACGAATATCTTCATGCTGGTGTTGAGAAGCGAGATCCCCTGTGGTTTCACAGAGTTGCTGGTTTCCTTCCAACTGATAGAGATGAACGACTGCCGCATGCCTAAAGTCCACAAGCGACTTCTCCTCGAAGCCACATCTCCTTGAACAACGTTGTGAGTTGATCCATCAGCCGGGAGGTGCCGTGCTTGTAGACTTTTGCCGGAATCGCGTCGGATTCCAGTGCTTTCTCGCTGAAGAGTTGGTGCACGCTTAAACTGTTTCTGGGGTAGAAAGCGGCAGATCCAGATTGTTCTTCGTGCTCGGCCCAGTGTTTCAGAATCTGATTTCTCTAATTGTATCGTTGTGCTATCGGAACTGAGTAGCGGCGCGGCGTATCGTAGACCGCCCTGTGTGATGCGAAGAAGTTCAAGGTTTCATTGTAGTCGATATACTTTTCAATTTCCTTGGCCTTACGATATATGCAGGCGTCCAGCCCCTCCGACCATCGTTGTTGCACACGACAATGGTGGCGAAAGTTCTCCTTGTTGACGTCAGTCCGAAGGTTCCTGTAAGCATTGCGCAGCCTGTGCTTTTCGCCGAGTAGTAGACTGATAACTCTGTCGTTGTTGTCGAACCAGCCCTGTTCCTGACTACGTGCGCGTCTGCGGACACCAGGGCAGTCGAGCCAATAGTGTTCCACAGTTGGTCCCTTTGAGTACCCGCGGATACGTTGTCCGGGGCCGGCATTTCTTCCAGGTGCTGCGGTGATTGACTGCTGAAATGTAAGCGATGAGTAGGCTAATTCAACAAAACAGAATTTAACTTATTTGGTAATCTCTTCCCTTGTGGCCTACTGCAAGATGTCATATGGTACCTCGTCTTGCAGATGACGAGGAGGTGGTAGGTTGAGCCATCGGCCTAACAGTTTGCCCTGGTCACCAGCACGTCCTGTCGATCTCACCTCCGGACAAGAACGTATTTTGGTAACTTCCAGTGCCGCGATCATGGTCGTATCTTCGTCTTTTTCCGCGCTGACAGTCTGTATGTAGATAAACTGTTCCGAGAATTTTCTAACCCCTTAATCGCGAGGAGGTAAGCAGTGCTGTCTCAATATAGGGTTGAGCATACATCTCAAAGGGCCGTCAGACTGCACTGTGTCGCGGTTTGATTTAATGGGAGAGCGGCCCGAGTTGGACTGGGCCGCATGTACTTCTCTCCACTGGGCTTTTGGAAGTGTCGGAGAGAAGAGTAGAACGGACGGGAGTGGAAATGGATGGGAAAATTCAAGTAAATTTTGGTTTGGTGGAACGCAAAATTTGATTCCTCACATCTGGTTTAGCCCGCCGGTTGAGGCGTTAAGCAGGGTGTGGCCGCTAGAAAGGGCCTAATTTCGGCAAACCACAAGTTAGAGTTGGGCGCCAAATAATGGACGCTGGACACTCGCATCCGCGGATTCTGTCACTTCCCCACAACAACCATTTTTGTCTTCTGAAATGAGTCGTCTCCAGATGGACAACGAGAATGGGACAATGGATTGACCTAGGACGTCCTGAACACACATGATGCAGTTGTTTATAGTGCGGTTCTTAAGTTTCCTCTGGTTGCGTTCCAAGCATACGGATAATCTGCTAAACGAGAATTTGCGGAGCAAAATCCCTCTGGCATCCAGGACTATCTCGTCGAGTCATGGGTCACTTTCGTCCGTGCGTACTCGTCAAACCCGGAGGTCATCCTGGGTCGCGACACTTGCTTGACAATTTTGTTATCATGCATTAATAAGCTAGGAGTTTTCTTGTTAATGCTTCAAATGGCGAAAGATGCATATTTGTAATAGTGACGCATTCTACACTTGGAAACGACGTCAACTCGCAGCATCTTGAGGCATAGACCATCCATTAGCGTCTGCGGAGCTGGTATCAGGTGATAACTGCGCTTTCTCAATGTTATTATTAGAATACCTTGGCGCACTCTTATTCTGAGCAGTCCTGTCGAGGTGTGCCATGTTTCTCGAAGTTGAACAGGGTGTCTGCTGGCCTCATCTTTGTTTCTCGGATGCAAATTGCTGCTGCTGCCACAACTTTTATATCGAAAACAATTTAAATACCCCCACTTCTAACACATGTTGTGATCACAGCCCTACTCGTAGGTAAGACCTCGAAGCAATCATCAGGGCGGCGAGTGGTGAGACCGCTGATTTCTTCCTGCATTTCATTCGACCGCATCCCAGGGGCGACACCTAATCATCCAGCAGCAGAGGTCAGTCTTTAAGTCCGAATAATAGCGGAATGCTCTAGGCGCTAAGCAGACGGGCAGCATGCGCAGGTGAACAAAATCTCACTTGCCTCCGGGATCCCTTTCAATATGTACTGCACAAATTGATGTGGAGAATTCTTTACCAAAAGTATTTCAAGGGAATCATTTCGATGGACTTTCGCAATTGCAACCTCCTTAGTCTTTTTTACTGACGCTTTACGTGCTTGGCAGCGCATAGGCTGTGTGACTGAGGTTCTCGTGGAT